TTCAAGAAAACGACCCATTTTTCTTTTTCACTTTGGATCATACAGCCATATCTGAACCATATCTGATTAACTGTGGCCAGAGTTGGGACCATATATGTACTTGGCAGCTTGTAAAAAACATATTGATGATACTTTCCAGGGGGAGAATTTACCACAGCTGCTCATTGCTAAGGAGCCCTGGTGGCATAGTGCATAGCACTCTGGGCAGCTAATCTAAAGGTCAGCAGTTCAAAACCACCAGCTGCCCTTGGGAGAAAAATAGTTAATGTTCATGGGAGTTAACTAAAAGATTTGTGGTTCTCCTTCACCCAGATACATTTCTAAAGAAAGTCCTAGCATTCTGTTTCCCCCAAACTAGGCATTCAAAATCCTACAGAGCCCAATTCTACTCAGGCACACATGGGACCACAAGTAGGAGTCAGCTCCATGACAACTAGTTATTAAAATAGTCACACATGGGAAATTTTTGCCTCAGACTTTTTCCAGAAAGTTTAGTTTATAATAAGTAGCAAGTAATTTTTTGCATTATAGACAATGCTACTCTTATAAAGCATAATATTTATGTTTTGTTTTAACTGATATTCTATTCAAAGTCAAATTTCACCCACTTGGAATTATTATGCAAAACTCTTAGGTTTCCTTTTCTGTTCATAGTGCACTTTAACTTCATTTCACTCATTTTCCTTCATTGTCGCTTGTTTGCTCTTTTTAAATCTATTGTGCTATTGTAATTGGATGCATTTTGATAGACATCTTCATTTTGTTGAAATTAAGCAATTTGCTAGTATACAAATACTTCTCCATTCTTGGATTCATGTTGATGAGCGCATCTTTTAAATGTTATAAAGACACTCACACTGGACCCACCTGTCGCAAGAAATACAAAAAGGCTGAAGAGAAAGGACCTCACACTGAGTACACCAATGCACCTGACCCAACCCATGGTGTTTTCAATCACCTCTCATCCAGATGGAAATTGGACAAAGAATGAGGAAGGCCAAATGATTCATTCATTTGAATTATGGTGCTGGTGAAGAATATTTAAGTATAATGGGCTTCCAGAAGATAATCAAATCTGTCTCAGAAGAAGTACAACCAGGTTCTCTATAGAAATGAGGATAGCTAGACACTCTCTCACATACTTTGGGCATTTTATCATGAGATCAGTTGCTGGAAAAAGTCAACATGTTTGGTGAAATAGAGGGTCAGAAAAAAAACAGGGGAAGACCCGCAACAAATGGATTGACATCATGAAGACACCCAAGGCTAAAATTTGATGTCAAGAAAATAGGGCAAACCCAGAGAAAAAGATCTCATTTTCCTTGGCATTTCTAAGAAGGCATGTTTCTAAGAAGGCATTTCTAATGTAACACACAAAGAAGGGAAAAGGAAGAAGTCACAAATAAATTAACCAATCTGTTTGCCGAGGCTTTATTTACCTCTTGAAACCCAGCATCATAAGACATTCCATTATAATAAAAAGATTTTACCTTCACTCTTACAAAAAAGATAGTAAATTATAATACACATATTGTAAAAGATGACAGCCATTAGAATAGACTACACTGAAATGAGAAAAAACTTGATGACTCAAACTGGGCCTATAAATGATATCATAATAAAAGGTGAAGAAATTGAAGTTTTCAAATATTTCACTATATTTGGATCAACAATCAAAATTCATGGAAATGGTAGACAAGAAGGCAAATGTTGTATTGCACTACAGAGTAGGCAACATCTGTTGCATAAGGCCTCTGTAATCAAAGACCTGTGAAATCAGAGATGTTCCTGTGAGGACTGCAATGCACATGCCTCAAGCCATCGGTATTTCAAGTTGCTTGATATGCATGTGAAAGCTGGACAATGAAAAAGAAGTTTTAAGAAGTGACACATTCAAATTCTGGTGTTTGCAATGAATACAAAATATGCTATATATGGACTACCAGAAGAATAAACAACTCTGTCTTGAAAGTCATACAGTCAGAACGTGACTTAGAAGCAAGGATGGCAAGATATCAATCACCCTTCTCTGTTTGGATATATTGCCAGGAGGGACCAGTCCCTTAAAAGACATTACGTTGGATTAAGTGTAGGATAAGAAAAATGAGGAAGATCTGCAGTGAGATGAGTCGATGCTGTTACAGCGAGAATTGTGAAGTTGATGCAGGATCAAGCAATGTTTTGCTCTGTTATATATAAGGTTACTTGAGGGTCCCAGCAACATTTCCGTCTGAGCCACTCAGGGACACTGCTACAATAAAGACTAGGAAGTGGGAAGT